TTGTTGCTGTGTGTTTGGTTTTCTTGTTTTTTGGCTTACTAGTGATTGAACCCAGGGTTTTTCACTGAGCCACATCTCTAGCCCTTTTGTTATTTTTTGAGAAAGGATCTCACTAAGTTGCTCAGTTGCCCAGACTGGTCTTGATCTTGTTCTCCTCTTGCCTCAGCCTCTCAGAATGCTGGGACTACCTACTATGCATCACTATAGCCACTTTACTCAATTTTTAAAAAACTTTCCTAACTTTTAAATGTTGATTAGCTCCAATCTCAATTCTTGGACCTCATTTCTTTCTCTGTTCAATTCCTAGGCAATCTCAGTATGATTGCTTTTTATCATCTTTTATATATTTAAATTTTATCCTAATTCTCAGTCTTCTCTGAACTTCAGACTTGTATACCCCATTGCTGTGTTACATCTTTGGATGTCCAATTGGTGTTTCAAACTTATCATATTCTACCCTTCCCAAATTTATAAATAAGTAAAATAAGTCTTTGGACAACATCTAGCTTGATGTCTTTTATTATATGGTCTGAAAATTAAGCATGTTTTTTACATTTTTAGTTGTTGGGAAAAATCAAAAGAATATTTTATGAAAATAAATAAATAAATAAATAGAAGAAAAAGAGGAGGAAGGGAAGGGAAAGAAGGAGGAGGAAGAAGAAGGAAAAAAAGAGGACAAAAGAGATGACAAGATGACAAAGAAAAGGGGAAGATGAAGAGGAGGAGAGAAGGAACAGGAGGAGGGCGGGGAGGAGGAGGGAGAAGAGGAGGAAGGAGAAGAGGAGAAGAAGGAAGAAGAAGAAAGAAGGGAGAGGAAGAAGGAGGAGGAGGACACAAAGGAAGAAGAGAAAATTGTGCAAGGGAGTTGGGCGTGGTGGCATATACCTGTACTCCCAGCACTCATGAAGGTGAGGGATTAGGATCTTGAGTACATAGTGAGACTGTCTCAGAAAACAAACAAAAAAAGCTGAAAGTTAGATTTTTATATCTGTAAATACACAACCACATCTATTCATTTGCATATTGTCTCTGTCTCCTTTCATGCCACAGTGGTAGAGTTGAGCAGCTTTCATAGATAATGGCTCACAAAGCCTGAAAGTAATTACTTTTTGGTTCTTTATAAGTTATTTGCTAAAAGTCAGGCATAGATAGTGATGCCTATGTGTAATCCCAACTACTGGGGAGACTATAGCAGGAGAATGGTAGGTTTGAGGCCAGCCTGGGCAACTTATCTAGACCCTATCTCAGAATAAGAAGAGACTTGAGTGAAGCTCAGAGTACACAAGGCCTTGGGATAAATCTCCAGTAGAGCAAAGCAAAGCAAAAAAAAAAAAAAAACCTAAAAAAAAAAAAAAAAAACCTAAAAAACAAAACAAAAAAAAAGAGTGTTGACCTTGCATTAGAAATTTCTTGTTCTTGACTTCTCATATCTTCACAGCCCTGCCATTTATGATCAGAGAAGCCCTTAAGAGAGTAGAGAGGTACTCATTGTGGGAAGAGCTCAAAATGGAGTAGTATATACATCACTTCAATTTCAGCTGTTACTGAGTATGTCATCAGTAAGATTCTAATTCTCAAAGTATATTGTTTGTGGTTAAAATAAAATTTAATGAAATTACTTTTAAATACTCCTTTGACCCTAAATTCTAAAATACTGTGATTTAGCCAGGTGTGTTATTGTACACCTGTAATCAATCCTATTACTCTGAAGGCTGAAGCAGAAAGATTGCTACAAGTACAAGGCCAACCCTGGCTAAATAGTGAGATCCTGTCTCAAAAAACCAAAACATAACAAAACAAAATACAATTTAACATTAACTGTTAGAATAAGAGTATATTTCTCAATATCCTATTGAACAGGAACATTCTGCGTCCCAGAATTTATTAATGCTCTTCTGTAACTAAATAATTTAAAGATTTTCTACCATGTATAATTAAGGGCATTTCTCATGCTTCAAGCTTCCTTTGACTTTGTTTTTCTTTCAGTGCTCGGAATTGAACCTAGGGCCTTGAATGTGCTAGAACACCACCCCTCAGCCCCGACCCCCTATTTTTTAAATTTAAAAAGTCAAGTTGATTAGATAATTTTGAGGGGGGGATCAAACTTGGGACCTTGCGCTTGTGAGGCAGGTGGCAGCACCACTGAGCTAAATCCCTGGCCCTGATTAGATAATTTTGTTAAAAGGAGATTGTGAATTACAGTCACTGCCCTGCTTTGTGTAGGCCTTTTGAACACATGTTGATTTAAGGAAATACCTTTTGGACCAAAAATATCAACAGGTAAAGAATATTAGGCTCAATCATACTGCTGCAAGTTCTACAGTGATATTACCAGAAAATTAATGTACCTAAATATTAATCTCATTGTGGAAACTACATGCTTTTATGTTCTTATGGAATATGTAATTTTATAGTTAAAGGAAACTGAATGTTTAAGAGCGAAGTTCAATTTATTTCCAACGAAAACACTTCCTATTTTGTTGGTATTCAATTAGAGATGAGATTTCATAAGATACTACCTCCCAAACCCTAAAGAGTACTCTAAAGTAGAAATTAACATTAGCAAACAAGTATGTAGATGTATACTCTTGTCTCCAAAATCCTTTCACTTCTGAAGCTGGCTCAGGGGCAGTGATTCCCAAATACTTATCTTCTCTGATGAATATGCAAGATTCTTAGCCGGGGTGGTGCAGGCCTGTAATCTCAGCATTCAGAGGCTGAGGCAGGAGGATTGTTGTGAGTTCGAGACCAGCCTCGCCTACACAGTGAGTGCTAGAGCAATCTGAATTACATAGTGAGACCCTGTCTCAAACAAACCAAAAAAAAAAAACCAAGGTTCTCTTCTGAGTGAAGTTGTGTAAGCCTTTAGATATACCAGGCTAGTTTATGTATTATATTTTTATTGGCTTCTATACTCTAATTTCTTGATTGGAAGTTTCATTAATGAAGGAGGCTCACTTTAATAAAATTATAATGTTTAGATCCTTGTTATTAGAAGCTGTATGTCAAATGCCATTTTTTTTCTCTCTCATTGAGTTTATTGGTACATTTTTAGATAGACAGTACAGTTACATTCATCATTGGGATCTTGTACCTTTACATGACAGGTCTTGGTTCTCATTTTTTTTTCCCTTGTCCCTGCCCTCCCTTTACCCCTCCTCCCCTTCCCTGTTTACAAACACTTTATTTCCATTTTTTCATTTTCTCATATTTTTTCTTTGCCATTTTATTTTAAAACCTAGTCATTAAAAAGGTTTTTTTGTTGCTGCTGTTCAGTTGCCTCCCCATAAAAGATATATAGTTGCTTTAATAGTTTTTATCTTTGTCATTATCAAGAATTCCCACTCTTTTAAAGTAGGCTTCCAACTGGATCTGTTCATATCCCAAAATCTTACTGTAGTATTTTCTGTGACCCTGTATCCTGACTTTGTCCTGATATGGGGCTGATTGTTTTTTTGGTACTGGGGAACGAACTCAGGACCTTGCACTTGCAAAGCAGGCTCCAGAACCACTGAGCTAAATCCCCAGCTCCTGGGGCTGATTGTTTAGAAAATGTCCTAATTAGGAAATCTTTTAGTCAGCTTTCAAAAATCATGATGCCTAGGCTGTATTCCATACCAGTTAAATGTCTTGAGACAGTGTAAGGAACACAGTGCCACTCATATCAAGTATGTAGTGGCATCATAGCACATTAGCAGCTGAGGTGAGGAGTTCTTAAAAACTCTAGAACAGCACCCAAAAAAGCTGGTTTACCCAAAAACAAATGGCCCAACTATCATAGCTAGAGCAATAAATGAAATGGATGAAAATTTTCACAAAACTACATATAAAGAGACACCATAGAGTTACTAATCAGATAAAACGTCTCCAACAAATGACTGTGCTTTGCTCATAAACTATATATTTAAGTATCAAGAGATAGAGTTTGTAGGATCTCTGTTTTAATACCATTCTGTCCCAGCCTGCTTTAAATTAGACCCATACTTTCGTTTAGTGAGTGACTTTGACTCAATTTGGTCTCGTATTCATGAGTGACTGAGATCAGGACCTTATACCTGTTTGTGTGTGCTTTATGGAGTAAAGGTTTACTCTGTAGACTGATGGGTAAATAAATGATACATTCAAAAGACAGTATATTTCTGTTGTCTGATCTGTTCACTTCCCTTACTATAGGTACTAAGGTGCTCACAATAAGAGCCCAAGACATCAGTATTTCTTTTCAATATCCCCAAGTGATTCCAGTGTGCACAGTGGCTTTACTTATTAGCTGCATAATATCTTAGAGATTCTACCTCAGTAGTGTATTTTAGCTACTTAAAAATATGTTATATAAATATGACAGTTATCATTGTTACCAGTTATTATTTAAACTGTGGAAAAACTCTTAGCTCTTTTGTGTTACAGAACCTAGTACCTGAGTCTGGGTTTTTCATTTCTTTCCATTCTTAGTGAAAAACTCTGTGTCTTAATCTCTGAGGATATGTCTTCTTTCTTACAGCTCACAAGGTGTTTTCACAAGAGTATGGCTGTGTTAGTCAAAAGATGGGAATTTTATGGAGGCAATTACCTTTGGGAACATAGTAATTACTTATTTCAACCTTAATTTTCTACAGGCATTACCTTTTCCTGTTCCCACAATCTATCCACCTGGCCTTGTACCTTTGAGTAAATAGATTTTCATTTGTGTATATATATTTCACTTAGATTTCTTTCATACATTCCCTTTCTTGTATATAATAAAATACAACTGGAGTGAAAATAGCTTGGCCACACCACTGAACACGAGAGAAATTTTTAAAACTTTGGTCTTTTTGGTATACAACCAGGCTGCATTCAGTGTTTTAGAATTATAGGAATACCCTCAATTTGAGGATCTGGTGAAACAATGTAATTTTAGAGCTACTGGTACAGCAAAGGCAGCTTGTTCTTGTCTGAAGACTTGTCTTTAGAACTCTATACACTGAGAGGCTAAGAGTAAGCAAGCAATCCTTTCTTTCTAGATCTTCATCTGCTGGTGGACGTGGCCTGCAAGCAGGAACACTTTCCAAAGGAGGAAGAATTCAAAGAGTGAGGAATGGACGACAAAAGTAACATTGTGCACTAGCTGTAGCTGGAGGCAGACCAGCCTTGCATGTGACACACTGTTGGGATTTTTCCAGTTCTGTTGAGGAAAAGAAGTATTTTTTGTTTTGTTAAATGAGAATTTTGTTAATTGAAAATTGGGAGTTCGGTATTTATTACAGCTGTTTGGTTCAGATTATTTACCTTGACAAACTAGAAAACATCTAGCAGCCATGTTTTGTTTGCTGCCCAGATCCCTTTCAGATGAAAAGTCCAAGCCTTCTATTACAGTTAGGAAGGTTAGGAAGTATCTACAGACTGCTATACCTATGGTCCTGGAGCATAGTGTGTGTCTGCGCTGAATTGTCTTGCCACTCTCAAACTGATGTCAACACCACTCCAGTGGGGAGTCCAGGCTCTGTTTCAAGCATGGTGTGATCCTCGTAGAGAAGATTGTATGAGAAACAAAGACATGGGAGGTCACCAAGACCACAGGTCTAAATGGGTCAGGAATTCCAGGGAAGAAACTCTGAGAAAGAGATAATTTTCTAAGTGATTAACCAGGAAATTCTCGTACTTCCTAACCCAGCAATCTGTTTCAGGAGCAAGGCACCCGGACTTGGACCATCCATCACATTTAACACCACCTGATTCTTTTATATTAATGAGAGCATTTTTCTATTTTCATATCTTTCTTTAATTTTAATGATATATTATCATAAATGCTAAGAAGGTTTTGTTAATATCACTTAAATGTCTTCTAAAGAAAATATTTAACTTGTTTAATTGTATTTACAAATGGTGGTAGATTTAAAGGTTTTAAAGCTTTATATTTTTATTAATATTATATATATGTAATATTCTCATTTTGAAGGAGAAATGCACACTGTATGAAAAACTAAGAATTTAATGCAGTGTTTCTCATTTTAGATTTTTTACATTTAAGAAATACAAGTCTTCATCTATAAAAGTTATTGTGAAACTTTGGGGGAAAACTGATTAGTTGTCATTTAGAAAAGCTATGCTCTGACGTTTTTTAATAGTTCATATCTGGCTTAAATTTGAGATGATTTTGGATAGTGGGATAGCATAACATTTTTTTTGTATCCCTCATATAGGATTCTTAATTCGAGTAGTAGGATTGTGGGATTGTTTTTAAGAAGAGGAGGATGTCCAGTTTTGTGGTTAATCCTTTGCTTGCCCATCCAGTGAACAGCAAGAGCCTTTCTGATTTAAAGTCTTTTCAATTGACTAGTATTTACTTTATTCTGCTTCAGTTTTCCTAATATGCACTGCAGAAACAAAAGGAAAGCCTGAGAATATGAAACTAATGAAAAAAAGGCACTTAATGATAGGACATAAGTACTATAACAGCCACTGTGGATGTTACAGCTCTTATGATATATTGCATTGTGCTTCCCCAGTGAAGTCAAGCTTAGGAAGTGTTACAGATGCCTTTTTTTTTTTTTTTTTTTTTTCAAAAGGGTGAGCTCTGCAGTAACTCAGTTTATATATGAAAGTAGATTCTAAAAAGTGATGTTTCTGATCCAAGTGATTAGACTAATTCATGTCCATGTGATGGGTATTTATTTATCTTTATTAGCAAAGGCTTAAAGTGAGCGAATTATTAAGACATCTATATCTTTTGGCCAAGCTGTATACCTTGGCAGAATATGTGAAAAAAAGACCTAGTTTCCTAATGAAGGAATTTTTTTTTGGTTCTGTGTCATACTGAAGAGCTGACAAACTGTGTAGGTGATACTTATTCCCTTCAATGTGCTTTTCTTGCTTTATATTGTTGAAAGAGATACTATCTTTTGAGGAACATGTGTCAAGCGGGAACCTTGGCATAGGTTTGGTTTCAGTGGATTTAAGGCTTAATTAATGAAATGCCTTGATAGGCTTTCCAAACTTTTATATGAATACAACAAACCAAGTAGCTGGATCTCCTGCTGTATTCATATGCCTGGTGTCTATCAACTAAAGCTGTCGTCAGTGACTTGGGCAGAATGGCAAGAGGTAAAATCTTCATGTGAATTAGCCAGTAGGATCTGACACATGCTGACAAGGTTCCTGATTAGCACCTCAGTATTTCAGCACCTTAAGCACCAATAAACTTCAATCAGTCAACAATAAAGTGAGTGTTTCAACTAGACTTGTCTTGCTTGTTTTTACTATTTTATTGGTAATCAGTAGAAAATTCAGTCATTATGGCCATTAATAATACTAGTAAAGTTCAAAGGGGAATGTACTGTTTTTCTTTTTGGGGGGATGGTGTTTGACACAGGGTCTTGTTGTATAGTCCAGGATGTCCTAGAATTCAGTCTTCTTGCTTTAGTCTCAGTGCTGGGATTACAGGCATGCACTACCATACCCAACTTTGAACTCTGTTTTTCAAAAAATCTCATTAAAAAAAATCGTCCTGATGTGTTTTTTTTCATTTGCACTTGAATAGAGATTGAATTTTTAAAATGTCATTAAGGATAAGGACAGTTCTTGGATATGTTTTACAGAGCCTCAGGTGTAAGATGAGGTTGGTAGATATCAGTGAGACAGGTTTCTCATTGCCATAGCAATACCATCTTTATGACATCTCTGGAGAGAAAGTGGAATATACCAACCTTTGAGACATAACTCTCCTACTTTGATGCTGGAGAATAATTTCTCTTGCTTATCAATTCTGGTACCTAAATAAACACAAGATATCTGTGGACTAAATTACATACAGCTGTTTGGCTTGACCCTAAATACTCAGCATTCCCAGGTTTATGATACATATCATCATCATTCCTAGATTCCTCAAGAGAGACCAATTTAATAGTTAATATTTGTAGTTTCTTTTTTTATTTCTCAACTAAGTACATATGATGACTATTAGATTAATTCTTTTGCAAGTTTTAAACAGAGAAAAATGGGGTAAAGTCCATTTGTAGGTTATTTTTTTGTTAAGTTTTACTTCGAAGATATTTTTGTATGTGTCAGTGACATAATGTATATTTTCATTAATTATGCTGTAATCATATACCATACATAAAATAAAAATATAAGCTAGGTGTAATGACACACACTTACAATCCCAGTACTCTGGGAGACTGAGGCAGGAGGATTGCAAGTTTGAGCCTAGTCTGGGCAACTTACCAGTAGCAACTTACCAGTAGCAACTTACCAGTAGCAACTTACCAATAACAAGACCCTGTCTCAAAAAATAAAAAGGGCTGGGGAAATAGCCCAGTACAAAGGCCAGTACTACCATAAAATAAATAACAGATTTAAAAAATTTCTCTCTAGCAGAATTAGAGCGCTTTCTATCTTTCAGGAAAGGAACTATGAAAGGTCTGTATTGTTTTAAAGTCCAAATGAGGAAAAAGTACTAAATAAGAGCACTTTTACTAGGTCTAAAATTCTGAAATATAATCCTTCTATAGGGTAAAAGTGTTCAGGGTAAATAGACCACTTTTTTTGCTTTCAGAGACAATATTTACAACATACCTACAATACAATTTATTGCTCACATTTTACAGATTATCATACAAAGGTTCATTTACACATGAGGTAAAATTTTATTTATTTATTTTTTGGTACCTGGGATCAAACTTGGGACCTTGTACTTTTGAGGCAGGTGGTGGAACCACTGAGTTAAATCCCCAGCTTGTTTTTTTTTTTTTTTTTAATACAATGTCTCACCATGTAGTTCAGGCTGGCCTTGAACTCAGTATGTAGCCCATACTGGCCTCAAACTCAAGGCAATACTGCCTGAGCCTCCTGAGTGCTGGGATTACAGGCGTGAGCCACCACGCCCAGCTGAATTTGCATTATTTCTAATTATTCTAGAATTATTTCTAGAATTATTTCTAGAGTTTATTATAAGAGTTACAATTTATAAGTATGGTAATTAGTTGAAAATTAATTTTCTTTTTTGCTGCCCACACTCTTCTCATTTTAACCTTTGCTTGTATTGACACACTTACTTGCATTTTTACACCAAGGGCATAGGTCTGATTTATAGTATTATTTCACCTCCCAAAGATGTGAGAAGAAAATAACACTCCAGACCTCTGACATCACCCTGATCTAAAAGCTCCATACAGGAACAGTTTAAGCAGAGCAACTGGATTTAAATTAGTAAGCTATGTATAAATTGGTCAGAGTCCTTCTCGGGGTAGCAGATAGAAGCAACGATAAATCAGCAAGGACTACAGTATAGGTTCACTTTATTCTGGCTTTGTGCCATTTGTAGACAACCCCGGAAAGAAGAGAAAACCCTTTGAACTTGTATTTGCAAAACCTTGTGTCCATTCTTTTATCTTTTGGATTTCCTTTATTTATTTATTTTTTCTGTTTATTTCCTCGTGCCACCATCCCTGTTCTGTCGGGTACAGAATCTGCTCAGATACATTTGAGTGGCCCTGATTTACGTGTGGTAGTTTGCTGACCCAGAGAAAGGTATTGAGACTTATATTGGATGCAGTTGGTCTGTGGCTCACTAGGGGGAGCAGAGGAGCTGAGAGAGCAGAGGGAAAGAACGGTCCGGTTAAGTAAGTGGTGCGTGCACGCATCAGGAGGAGGAGGGGCGGGGTGGGGGTGGCCGCCTCTGGCTGCTCCACCCTCACTTTGTCAGCAGGTAGAGAGCGTGATTGCAGTCCCAGGGGAGGGAGTCAGAGCTAGAACACCAATTACAAACCGCAGGCTTCCTGCTCTAGGAGTTTGATCCAGAACTGTCTTTCTGGAAGGGAAGCACTGGAATCCTTTCGAACTTTCCAAGTCCATCCATGATTCTGAGATACTGCCTTCTCCCTGTGGGATTTTCTGTTTGTGGTAGTGAATTGTTGCTGATGTATTGCTACACTGCTTTTCTCTTTCAAGATTTGACCATCTAATATGCTGTTCGGAGAGAAAAAGAATTTTTGTTAGGAGATTTCAGAAATGATTTTGGATCTTCTATAAATGTTTTTAGAGTTCTTGGGGACAGTAGCTTTCATCCTGGAATAAGTTTCTGCCTTGACCTGCATGGATTATATTTTCAGGCTTCGGAATTTCTCGGCTCCTACCTGTAGTGTGGGACACTGGTTTGGTTGCAGAGTCTGAAGGTGGAAGAATGAGCTGTACTTGGTTAAGCAGTTCTAACCCTTTTTGAGCAGGATCTATAAAAGCATAAGTGAATGTGTTTCACCCCCGTGGATTCCAGTGGGCCCCGACAGCGCAACAGGTTTGCAGATTTCTTTTGGAATTCTTTTTTTTTTTTTTTTTTCCTCCTTCTGCTTCAGGAAAAGAAAAGAATATTAACAGGTTCACGTTTAGTTGGTTGGCTTTTTAGCACTTATTCTGAAGACTTTATAAGAACTTTTAAACTTGACCTTGAAGCACAGTGGGTTTTGTGGATGAAGTGCATTTATATTCACCTAAGGGTGCTCATCTTAAAGACCCAACGTTCTTATATGTGACTCGAAATAGTGCAGAACTACTCTACTCAGGCTTAATTGTAGTTTTTTAGGGTGTTCTGTTTAGAGCCTGACAAATCACATCCTCAATCCTGTCTTTTATTCTCCACCCCTCAAGGAATTTGTTGGGAATAGTTCTTTTTTTATTTTTTTAAACTAAAAAATTAGTTTATATCTGAATATTAGTTTCCAAAAGCGTGTTATGGGAAATCAAGTGCTTGATATTTT